GAGCGGGGGCGCTCGGGGGTCCTTTGCCCCCGGCCACGGCCCTCGCGCCGGGGCGTCGCCGCCTCCCGTGTCCGAGCTGGATCGCGCGGACGCCTGGCTCCTCCGGAAGGCGCATGAGACAGGTTCGTGGGCAGGGGCTGCGGTCGGCCCGGGTGGCGCTTGGGGTTCGGGGCTGCCTGGCTGTCCGCCTGACGAGGGGGGTACGGGGTGGGGCTTCTGCTGCAAACAGGGCGGGCTCAGGAGAGAGAAGAGCTTCCTGATCCGCGCAGGGAGCGCCGGCTGCCAGGGCGCAGTCCGTGCGCGTCCGAGAAGGGCTTCGGATGGAGCGGCGATCTGGGCTAGTGGGCGGCAGGAGTGACCGGTCGGGCCAGGACAGCGGCCTTACAGAGTAGGACCTATCAACAGAGAGGCTTCCAAAGAGGGCAGAGGAAAGGGGAGCTGCCTACAAGCGGGGTCCGCATGGGAGGGGGAAATCGGAGTGGAGAGGGGTGCGCTCTGCAAAAGGCGGCTGCAGTCCCGACTGGAGGAGGGAACAACCAGTAGAAGACAAGCTCTCGGCCGGCTGGAGGCGAGATGACCCAGGCTGCAGGGGGTCGGGGGAGCTGTTGGAAGTAGGGTCCCGTTTGAAGAGTACCAGTGGTCCCTATCGGATGGGGGAGCGGAAAGGAAGTCAGGGTAGCAGAGGGTGGTGTTTGTGGTAAACTAAGGGGAGGGGGTGAGATTCTGTCCCAGAGGGCCATGAATGAAGTGAGGGGGTGACCTATGGGGTTGCACATGGGAGGGGGTTGTCCAGCATGGCTTTGGGGTCTCCCCCTGCCATAGCTTCTCCAGTACTGTGCACTGTCTACTCTAGTTTGGGGGGAGACGAAAAGGGGTTCGGGTAGGGCGGGAGGGTTAGGTAGGAGCCTCCAGGAAGAGACTGGGATTTGGGGTGGGATGAGGTGGTAGGATGAGAGGCCCCTCAGTTTGTCTGGGCCGAGGAGCGGTGGGGGGAGATGTCTGATGACCCCCTCTCCCTCCAGCCTTTCTCTCCTGGTTCCGCAATGGCCTCCTGGCCTCCGGCATCGGGGTCATCTCCTTCATGCAGAGTGACATGGGTCGGGAAGCCGCCTATGGTGAGTGGAGACTCCCCCAGGCCCCCACTCTAGCCCCTTCCTGGGATGAGTGTCGCTGGGGATGCCACCACCCCCTCCTCCAGCTCTCACTGAAGACGCCTCACCCTCAGGGGTGAGAGTCAGCCTCTCCAGTCCAGCCAACAAGCTCCCCTCTGACCCTGGACCCCCAGACCCCACGTATATATCTTGGACACTCCCATTCGCTCTTGATCCCTGCTGCCCTCTAGAACGCCCCTGCCCATGACTGACACCCTGATCCCCCAACCCCACCTGTGTTCCCTGAGCCTCTGGGCCCGCGGGATCTGCTCAGCGCCGCGGGCCTTCTCCAGCCTGGGCCCCCGAGCTTCTCCGCTGACCATGGCCGCCTCCCCTGACCGTGACCTCCACGCTCTTCCACAGGCTTCTTCCTGCTGGGCGGCCTGTGCGTGGTGTGGGGCGGCGCCTCCTACGTGGTGGGCCTGGCGGCGCTGCGGGGGCCCATGCAGCTCTCGCTGGGGGGCGCGGCCACGGGCGTGGGCGCCGTGCTGGCCGCCGGGCTTCTCTGGGCTTGTGCCGTCGGCCTCTACATGGGCCAGCTGGAGCTGGACGTGGAACTGGTGCCCGAGGACGACGGGACGGCCGCCGCCGAAGGCCGCGACGAGGCCGGCCGGCCTCCGCCGGAGTGAGCAGCGGGGCCGCGGGATAGGGCTGGGCGCGCGGCAGCCGCGGGCGCAGGGACATTAAACCTAACCCTTCCCTGGCTCCGCAGTCCGAGTGCTCGTTCCTGTAGGGGAAGGCTGGGCCAGGTGGAGATGGCGCTCGGGAGGTGGGAAGGGGCGGTGGGGGCCGGGGGGCAGCTGGAAAAAACCAAGGAGGGGGAAGAGGAGAGAGGTCCGGGATGCCCAGACTGAGCCAGCGTGGGGAGCAGGCCTTTAATTCTCAGCGCCAGCGGCCGGGAGCTGCTCTCCCCCCTTCGCTCTGTGGCCGCTGCCCCACTCAGTGGAAGTCCCCCTTTCGCTGCAGCCTGCCGCCTGTGGGGCCCGGGTATGGCAGACCCAGGGTGGGGTAGAAGGCCTCAGGCAGGGTGGGGCCCTGGCCCAGCCTCTGCAAGTGGGGGTACATGAGCCCCAGCTCCGCAGGGCCGTACCGGATGGCGCCAGGGGTGCACAGGCCCCGTACCACGGGAGGCAGGAAGCCCGCATGGAGGAGGGGGTGTGGGGGGTCTCCAGGAGGTGCCAGGCCCCACGGCCGCACCAGGTCCTGCTTCAGGGCACTGGCCCGGATGACGGAAGTGAACTCTGGCCGCGGCGGGCGGATGGGCTCCTCGTCCTCACTGTCCTCCAGGCTCTTGGTCTCTCTGGGCCCGGGTTCTATTTTGATGCACTTGCCCTGGGCCTTGTCCTTGTCTGGGGGCGCAGCCTGCTTCCCTTCCACTGGAGGCTCTGGCTCTGGAAGAGAAAGATCCCGTGCGCCCTCAGTCTTCCCATCAGTGGAGCTGGACCCGGGGCCCCAGCTGGGGTGGTTCTCCCTGGGGACATTGGTGGCTGCCACAGAGGGGAGGATAATGGCTTTTAATGGGTAGAGGTGGAGATGCTGAGATGCTGCTCAGCACGCCCCCCAGTGACGTCAAGCCTCCCCCACACGGGGTGGCCTGGCCCTGAACGCCAGGAGAGTGGACTTGAGAATCCACAGCTCAGACCCGCTGCCAGCTAGCACTTCCCTTGGTGACAGGAGCCTCCCTGGGCACCATCCAGGGCAGCAGTCGCTGGCAATGTCGCCACGGGGCAGGACATGATGTGTGTGCAGCTGAGAAACTGGCGTTTCCGCTGGCTGTAAGGAGCCATGCGTGGCTGGTGACTTCAGGACTGGGCAGATGGGCCCAGGGCCCCTGAGAGCCCCCCCATGATTTGGGGGTGGGGGCTGAATAGGGCTCACCTGTGGGCTCGGGCTCTGGGCTGGACGCCTCACAGTTTGCACTGGCTGGAAGCTGGAAGGCATCCAGAGGTGTTTGGCCACCCTCGGCTTGGCTGGGGGTGAGACGGATGGGGTTGGAGCCAGGGGTCTGCCTTGCAGGGGAGGGGTACCCCAGTGGGAAGTGTAACCTTCAAAGTCTTGTGATGTGGGCCTCCCCCCACCTCTGAGTATAGGCACCTCGTATTCCCACCCTGAGACATCCCTGGACCGCTGGGCTCCGAAATGGCTTCTAGCCAAGCTTGGCCTTGTCCCCTGAGGCTGGACCTGTTACCCCAAATGTCACCCCCTAGGTGTCTCTGGGACCTCCCAGGCTCGTCTGAACTTAGCATCTTCCTTCCAAACTGCTGCCCACCCCCCATCCAGGGGCCCAGATCCAGGCCCAGCAAAACCAGACAACCTCCCCTTGCCCCCCCAGCCTACCCGGGACCCGCCCCCACCCCCGCCTGGTCCTCCAGCCCTATCTTCTTCCTTAGCCCTCCCATTTCATGGCAGCCTGAACAGTCTTTTTCCAAAAAGCTGCTCCGACTGCAACCCTCTCCAGCTATAACGCCCGCCATGATTCCTTGGAGCCCGGAATCAAGCCAGACCCTCAGCCTGGCTGGGTCACACAACCAGTTATCCCACTCGGGGCTCTTGCGCTCTCTGTCCCTCCCCACCCCCTTCGCAGTGAGGCTGCCCAGTACGGTGGTCAGCAGGGCCACCCTGTGGTTCTAACAGTGTCAGAAGTCGGTGTTGTACACCCCCGTAGCCGGCCGACCCACGGGGAGCTTTTCTGCTTCGTGCAGAGGTCGGTTGCAGCCACATGCAGACGGAAAGCCGGCCCTCGGCAGGGGCCGTGCAGGCCAGACGCAGCGGGTGGCATTTCTGGACCAGTAACTGATCAGCACTCCCAGCCTGGTCCCTTGTCGCCCAGGTTAGAGCTGACAGGCTGCCCGAGCCAAGGCGGGAGCTCCGGTCAGCTTGCTCTCGACTTCCTGAAAGGCCACTGGCACCCAGCAGCCCAACGCCAGTGTTCAGTCTGGCCTCTGAGGGTTTCCGAAAGCATAGCTGCACTATGGGGGACAGTGGGGCAGTCCCCCAAAGTCTCAAGGCTCAAGCTTTCGACAAACACAGCTGCCGCTGGCTGCTAGAACCTCGAGCAGCGTCACCTGCTTCCTCCGCCCTCTCAATTTCAGACTCGCTGCCTTTCCCGCCCCATGGGGCCATCGTGGCGCCTGGTAGCCCCGTTCTGCCAGGCGCTGCCAAAGCAATATGGTGTCCGCAGAAGCCTCGAGGCCAGTGGGGTGTCTGCATATGGGCACCTTCCCTGTGCCAGCTGGAGCTTCGGAGGCAGCTCAGCCAGCACCTTCGCCCAAACAGTTGGAAGGTTCCTCAGACCTTGCAGAAGCACCGTGCGATGGTGCTGCGCTGTGGGAACTGGGTCCTGCCTCTGAAGCAAAAAGCTTGAGTCCAGGTATCTACTGGGGTGCAGAAAAAAGCTTCCTTCAAATCTAATACGGGGAAGCGCCCAGCCCCCAGGCACGCCAGTCGACACGGGGCCAGGGCTTGGTGCAGCTGAGTGCATTTCTTCTAGTGTTAATTGCCCTCACATCTTTCACAAATGAAAGTCACTTGTGTGGGGTTTATTTACCAGCACGTAGGAGTGTTGGAAGCTGTTTAATTCCCCTCAAAACCTCTTGCTTTTCTTTGGGGTCTTGTTCCCTTCCACCAATTCAGTTTTTGCAGGGTTTGTGTTTCTGGTGCACCCGGCAGCTCCTGCAGCCCAAACCACTTCATTTTCCTGCTACAGGCATCAGGAGGGCCTGCTTCACTTCTTGGTGGAGCACCCGAGTAACGTTTGCTAAAGCAAGACATGTCCTGGGGAAGTGTACCCTCCCGGAAGTGTACCCTCTGATCCTGAGGTGAAAAAACAATCTGGGCCTTCAATTTACTAAGGAGATCACGACCAAGGAGTGGAACTGGACATTCTTTTATGTAAAGGAAACTGTTCTACCTTTGGCCCCGAACTGGTGCTCTGACGGTTATCAGAGGGCTTTGTGTGGGCTCCTCCATCCCTCCCCGCCACCCCCACCCCCCCATGGCGACACCGCTCTCCCCGACTGTGCGGGACTCAACTTTAGAACTGATGGCTTGCTCCAGTGCGACTGACGTCTGTCAAACGACCCTACATGAAGTACTCCCTGGGGTGGTTAGCAGAGGTTCTCGCCCAGGCCATTTCATATCCAGGGCCCCCCATTCCTTATCTGAACCACCTTTCGGCCCGCCACTGCCTGTTCTCTTCCCTCAGAGGTCCTTCATTTCTCTTTTGCCCGCTTTCAGCCTCTCGGGTCACAGGAACCCCCGCCCCACTCTTCCTTGGGCTTCTTTTCCTTCCTTGCCACGTTTCCACCCTTCTCCCCTCTCGTTTCCACCAGGGACTCCAGCTTTCCCAGAGGCCTTCCTCGCTGCAGAAAGCCACTGCTCTTTCCTTAGAGGTTCTTACTGTCCCCTTCCCTTTCTTCTGCACCCGCCCGTCTCCCCTCTCTATCAGGACCACACAGGCCAGGTTTGCCTTATCTTCGCCAAAGGCTCTGTCCTCCACGTGGGAAGGCGGGTTTCCATAGCGACAAGGCTTAGCCGACTTTGTTAGTCTAGCTGGAGCACTCAGCGGAGTGAATGCCACCTTAACCATTCTGCTCTATGCCTGCATAACTTTTTTAGAAGTTCAGAAGGCTCCCCGCGCCTCCATTTTAAAAGGACAGGTTTACCAGGAGAAGGAGAAAGGCACCTGCACAGACAGGCAGAGCGCCGCAGCGCGGCCCTGCGAAGGGAGAGGCTTGTGAAGAGAAGCCCCTGCCCGGACCCAGGCGGGAGTGCTCTGGAGGCATCCTTGGCCTTTTGCCGACTCTCCAGAATCTTACCAAAACTTTTCTGTTTTGGGATCCCTGCCTTGGCCCTAACTGGCACTTGCACTGCTCTACTGGTTGCCTGTGTCCCTACTGGGCCCCCAATCGGGGCCTCCCCAAAGGACAGCTTCCCCGAACTCTGGGTTTTCTGGAGCTGCCAAGTGGCGACCAACGACCAGTTGCCTGCTTCCCCTGCCCCCCCAAAACCACTTGGCCCCCGGCTGCTTTTTCTTCTTTCAGGGCCAGGAACAGCAGCACCCCCACCCCCATCCCTTGCCTTTGAAAGCCAGTAAGAGCGCCCATGCGGGCCTGCCCTGCTTTATATCCTCCTTCACCGCCCCACCTTCAAATCTGATTGGACCGTTTCATGCTATGACTGATTGGCCGTTTAGCACCAATCAGCCCAGTGCTTGCACCTGATCGGTCTGTTTACGAGTCAGGCACTAAATATAAAAGGGGATTTGGCACCTGCACAGGCCCAACCTGCCCTGATCTCAGGGCAGGCTCATGGGCTGGGGTGGGGGGTGAACAATGGGGGGGTGCACTGTGGAGCAGCAGGTTGGGAAACCAAAACCACCACTGCTCTGCTGCTGAGGCAGTTCCTGCCACCAAAGATGGAAAGAGCTGGTCTTGTCCCCCAGTAGTGTTCTGGTTTCACTTCTAGAACCTTCCCTGAAAAGCCCCTTCCCCAAGACTGTAAGAATGTTGACTCTCCTGGAGGGGTACTGCGCCCCTCCCCCCATGGGAAGGGTGGGTACAGCCCTCACCTGAGCACGTAGCTGACCCAGAGCACGTGACGCTCCCCTGGGCTCTTCCCACTCACAGCCACAGTGGCCACGGACTGAAGCCACACAAAGCCTCCAGCACGTTGCAGCCAGCGGTAGTAACCGGTCACCACCTGACCCTT